TGTCATTATTTTAAATTATTGATATACTATCTTCTCTCACCTGATTGTTGCCCAAGCAAATTGACTTCACTGTGTCTTAAGTCCCTTTGGCAACCATATGTCGGCGTATAGCTTAGCTCTGAAACTTCTTTTTCTATAAAAGTGCTCAATTCCTTCGACTATGGCTTCACAGGGACTGATTATGGGTTCTAGATTTAATTATGATGCAGTGGGATTTTGGTATCTGCTGAGGTTTTGTTTCCACACCCCCAAAGAAACCAAAATCCATGGATGCTCAAATCGTAGTGCCCCTTATATCAAATGGCAAAATTGGCTTTTGAGATTATTTTAAACATATATTTTTAAGTTGTGGATGCAGAATTTGTGGATATAGAGAGCCACCTGTACTTCCAATGACCATATAGTCCTAGCAGATCCATCTATGGGAATCATAGTATTGAAAACATTTTTTCCAAATAAAGTTAATTTTTAAAAAAGTTTTTAAATGTTTTAACGTGTTGTTTATTTATCAATGATATGCATACACGTGGCATCAAATTGTTGCCTTTGTAAGGCTGCCCTGAGTCCCCTTGGGGCTTGAGAAGGGTGGGATATAGTGTGGTAAATGAATAAATCAGTAAAATTAAGAAGTCACAAGAAAACTCCATTCACAGAAAAGATGCTTAGTGTGTAGTTTGGAATACAAAAGGTTCCTAGCATCAGCATTTTGCTGTCCTTTTCTAGAATGCTCCTTATTTAAACAGGAAGATAAATATAATCAATTTAAGCTTGGAGTATACAGAATAATTATTTATTGCTGCACTGTAATACTGTATATATTGTGAAAATGTAAAAAGGTTCTATTTAAAATAGTATGGAAAGTCACATGGATAGTAGCTTTCTGAAACTCTGTTATGTATTCTTTAGGCATGTTGGAGCATTCCTTAGGAGCCTTTTTTCCAAGGCACATTTCTCTTGTTCTCTGGGAAGATGAAAATCATCCTTTTTGCTAACAGTGTGGCTCGGGGGGGGGGGGGGGGGGGAGTGTAGCTTGTGTCTCCGTTAGCCATAGAGCCAGAGGACAGTTTTCCCAACTGTGTCAGCTTTCAGGGAGGAAAAAATGAGGAGTGACAGAATACTCCTGGCTGCATTTTTGCTAAAGGCTATGTGCTTAGAGACTTATAGTGGATGCATGCCGATATCCCTGGCCACTATGTGCTGCACCTTGCTCCCTGTAGTCAGTATTGTCAGCCTTCCGTGTATATGGATTCAACTATCCACGGCCTGAAAATTTTATCATATAGCTAGATAGATCCCACTTTATATAACAGACGCCATGTTAAGGTAAAGGTTTCCCCTTGACATTAAATCTAGTTGTGTCTGACTCTTGGGGGGGTGCTCATCTCCATTTCTAAGCTGAAGAGCCAGCGTTGTCCGTAGACACCTCCAAGGTCATGTGGCCAGCATGACTGCATGGAGCGGCTTTACCTTCCCACCGGAGCGGTACCTATTGATCTACTCACACTTGCATGTTTTCGAACTGCTAGGGTGGCAGAAGCTGGGTCTAACAGTGTGAGCTCATCCCGCTCTCTGGATTCAAACCATCAACCTTTCAGTCTGCAAGTTCAGCAACTCAGTAATTTAACCCACTGTGCAACTTTCTACACTACCATACGGGCAGTTCCCGAATTACAAACATCTGGCTTATAAAGAACTCAAAGTTAAGAATGGGGGTAGGACAACAAGACGTAGAAGGAATCTACCCCTCAGAAGGGAAATTCACTCCTGAAAGAGTTATCATGGGGAATAGGTGTCCCAACTCAAGTTTTGTCACCAATCTCTGTTTCCACAACAAGCCACATTTTTCAAAACTCCAATGATCATAGGGACAGAACGTGAGGTGAGATCTACTGAACAGGGGCACTGACAGCAAAACAAACACCACAGGGGTGTTACCTCTTCCCTGTGCTATCAAACAAGATATGTGCAGTTACACTTGAAAATGTACCTGTACTGACTTACATACAAATTCAACAAACCTACAGAACCTATCTTGTCCGTAACTTGGGGACAAGATAGGTTTGAGTATCCACAGATTAGGTTACCCATGGGGATCTTGGAACCAAACCTCAGAGGATGTAAGCGTCTATACGTCAGAGCTTTCCATTGTGTAGTGAGACATTAGTGTGTTGGCTGCAGTGTGTAGGTGTGATGTGCAAACATAATGAGAAACCTCCAATTCTATATGAAAACCAATAAATAATATGTTTAAATCATATATCACTGAGACTGGAGCCTCAGGTTGCAGCAGTAGCTAGGGGGGCATTCGCACAATTAACACTTGTGTGCCAGTTGTGCCCGTACCTTGGGAAGTCAGACCTGGCCACGGTGGTCCATGCTCTTGTTACATCCAGGATAGTCTACTGCAATGCTCTCTATGTGGGGGCTGCATTTGAAGACTGTCCACAAGCTTTAAATAGTCCAACGAGAGGCAGCCGGGCTAATAACTGGGGCAGCATACAGGGAGTACACAACTCCCATGTTACATCAGCTCCACTGGTTGCCTGTGTGCTACTGGACACAATTTAAAGTGCTGGCTTTGGCCTATAAGCCCTAAATGATCCTGGCCCATTGTACCAGTCTGAATGCATCTCCCTTTACGAACCACCACAAAGACTAAAATGTTCTGGGGAGGCCCTGCTCTCGTTCCCGCCATCATCACAGGCACATTTGGCAGGGAAGAGAGGGCCTTCTCAGTTATCCCCCCCCCCCCGGCGGATATGGAATTCCCTTTCTGACAAGACTAGATAAGCACCCTCCCTCCTGTCCTTCATAAAGTTGGTAAAAACCTGGCTGTGGAACCAAGCGGCAATATTAGAAAACCCACTCCACTGACCAGAGCCAGCATGGTGTTTTGAGATGGTTTTAATCAACTGATTTTAAAGTAGAGGTAACTGATGTTAGTGTTTGTGTAGATCTATAGTTATTTTATGTTCCAGCATGGAATGCATGCCGTATATATGCTGTGCTCCACCCTGAGTCCCATTTGGGGTGAGAAGGGTGGAATATAAATGTTTCAAATAAATAAATAAAATAAATAAATGGACGGTTTTCCTGAGATAGGTTGTGCATTTCATTTGTCCCTATCTCTGAGAAGCGGTGGGTTTAACTTCCAGTTTGCTAGTAAAACTAGATTACTGTGTGGCAAAATGATGCATGTCAAAAAAGGTGTGACAGCAATGAGGGACATGGAAAGAGCCCCCTTAAAGAATGAGTAAATGCAGTCAGGCATCCCCTGGGTAGCGTTTCTTGTCAACGGCAAAGCTTTTCAACCAAAAGCACGAAATAATAATAAGCAACATGAAAGGTTTTGAATCCCCTAGTATTGATGGAAAACAACATTTCCGACAATTTTGCCTATTTTCAAAGGAGGTGCAGTTTTATGGAATCCTGGCAATTGTAGTTTGGTGTTTTGGACTTCAACTCCCACAATTCCCAACAGCCTCGGGTCCATTCCTTTTCCCCCTCAGCCGCTTAAGCTTGGCATTTGTAGTTTGGTGAGGGAGAAAAAGGAAAGGACCCGAGACTGTTAGGTATTCTGGGAGTTGTAGTACAAAACACCTGGAGGGCCAAAGTTTGCCCATGCCTGTGTTGGTGCCACACCAAACTACAAATGCCAGGCTTAAGCGGCTGAAAGGGGAAAAGGAAAGGGCCCGAGGCTGTTAGGAATTGTGGGAGTGGAAGTCCAAAACACCTGGAAGGCCAAGCTTTGCCCATGCCTGCACCAACCTGTCCTGTTCAACATCTTTATAAATGACTTAGATGGCTTAGAAGGCATGATCATCAAGTTTACAGACGACACCAAATTGGGAGGGATAGCCAGTACTCCAGAAGACAGGAGCAGAATTCAAAAACGATATTAACAGATTAGAGAGATGGGCCAAAACTAACAAAATGAAGTTCAACAGTGACAAATGCAAGATACTTGACTTAGGCAGAAAAAATAAAATGCAAAGATACAGAATGGGGGACACCTGGCTCAAGAGCAGTATGTGTGAAAAAGATCTTGTGGTCCTTGTGGACAACAAGTTAAACATAAGTCAACAATGTGATGTGGCGGCAAAAAAAAGGCAATGGGATTTTGGCCTGCATCAATAGGAGTATAGTGTCTAGATCCAGGGAAGTAATGCTACCCCTCTATTCCACCTTGGTTAGACCATGCCTGGAATATTGTGGCAAGTTCTGGGCACCACAATTGAAGAGAGATGTTGACAAGCTGGAATGTGTCCAGAGGGAGGTGGCTAAAATGATCAAGGGTCTCGAGAACAAGCCCTATCAGGAGTGGCTTAAAGAGCTGGGCATGTTTAGCCTGAAGAAGAGAAGGCTGAGAGGAGACATGATAGCTATGTATAAATATGTGAGAGGAAGTCATAGGGAGGAGGGAAGCAAGCTTGTTTTTTGCTGCCTAGACGTGGAACAATGGCTTCAAACTACAGGAAAGGAGATTCCATCTGAACATTAGAATGAACTTCCTGACTGTGAGAGCCATTCAGCAGTGGAACTCTCTGCCCTGAAGTGTGGTGGCGGCTCCTTCTTTGGAAGCTTTTAAACAGAGGCTGGATGGCCATCTGTCCGGTGTACTTTGAATGCAATTTTCCTGCTTCTTAGAAGGGGGTTGGACTGGATGGCAACTCTATGATTCTAACCTCTTTAGCAGAGGTGTCCAAAGGCCTTGAAAAGCTACAACTCCCAGGATCCCATCGCAGCTGAAAGTGGTATCAAACTGCTTTACAATTCTAGGTCCACCCAAGGCTTCATGTGGGCTCAATGACGCCCCTCTCTTCTCGTTCAGAAGGAGATCCTGAAAAGTGGAGACTGTGTGCCCGTGAGGGAGTCTCTCTCAAGAGTTGTGCGCCTGGGTGACACGTTGCAGACCGTGTAACTAAGCCTCAACCCTCCTCCATTGAGGCATGGGTGCTCCCCTCCCCCTCCCTGGCCTAGGGCTCCAGTGTGCGTGTCGTTCCCTCCCAGGCGTTGAGAAGGTGATCTCTCTCCTGGGCTTCCGCAGCCATTGCGCCGGGAGGGCGTGTTGCTGGGCGAGGGAGAGAGAAAGGCTCGCCTGGGCCTCGGAGGGCAGCGCCAGGGAGAGTCTCCTCACGCCCGAGAAGTGGAGCAGAGAAAGAGAGGGTCCCGCTCCTCTGCCTCCCTCCCTGCCTCCTCTCTCTCTCTCTCTGTGTCTTTGGAAGAAGGGGCCGACAGGGCTGTGGCCGAGGCGGAAGTGACGCCCCTTTCACCTGCTGGGCTCCAAGGAGAGAGACAGAGAGAGAGAGAAACAGAGGAGGAGGAGGAGGAAGGGAAGAAGCGCCTCTCGCTCCGCGCGGAGTCTCAGCTTGGAGTCGTTGCTGCCCCTGCCATGGAGTCGCTATGGAGCCTCTTTCTGCTCCTGTTGGCAGGTAAAAGGGAGGCGGAAGGGGGCTGCTGGAGAGAATAGGGGCGGGGGGGGGAGGGGTTGTTAATGGGGTTCCTGAGGGAAATGTGAGTCGAAGAGCGCTCTTGAGCAGACTATAAGGCTTCTCTGAGGAGAATGGGAGGCAAAAGGGGGCTCCTCGCGCGACGGGGAATGGGGCTCGTGGGAATGCACGGAGGAAGACGACTCCTGAGGAGAAGATACAGCGACATGGGGCTCCTGAGGAGAATGGAAAGTCTCCAGACATAGGACTCCTGAGGAGAAGATACAGCGGAATGGGGCTCCTGAGGCGAAAAGGGTTTGGTGAGGAGAATATGGGGGGAGGGGAATGGGGCTCCTGAGGCGAAAATGGGGCTCCTGGGGAGAATGCAAGGGGGGAAAGACTGCTGATGCGAATACGAAGCGAAATGGAGGCGCTGAAAAGAACATGAGGGGGGAATAAAGGGACTAAAGAGACCCCACCTACTCTACAGACCCGAGAAGGCTTCCCCCATTAGACACCCCTCCACAACCCTCTCCATGCCCCCTGCAGTGCCTGCTCTTTCTTTCTTTCTTTCTTTCTTTTTTCTTTCTTTCTTTCTTTCTTTCTCTCTCCTTCCTTTCTTCTTCCCTTCCTTTCTCCATCTTTCTTTCCTTTCTCTCTCTCTCATCCTTTCTTTTCTTCTTTCTTTCTCTCCTTCCTTCCTTTTCTTCCTTTCTCCCTCCCTCTCCTTCCTTCCTTTCCTTCCTCCCTTCTTTCTCTTTCTCCTTCCTTTCCTTCCTCTCTTCTTTCTTTTCCTTCCTTTCTTCCTTTTCCTTTCTTCTTTTCTTTCTCCTCTCCTTCCTTCTCTCCTCCTTCTTCCTTTTCTTCCTTCTCCCTCCCTCTCCTTTCTTCCTTTCCTTCCTTCTTCTCTTCCTCCTTCCTTCCTTTTTCCTTCCTTCTCTCCTTTCTTTCCCTTTCTTCTCTTCTTCCTTTCTTTTCTCCCTCTCCTTCCTCTCTCTCTCTCCTTCCTTCCTTCTCTTCCTTTCTACCTCCCTCACCTTCCTTCCTTTCCTTCCTCCATTCTTTCTCTTTCTCCTTCCTTTCTTTCCTTCCTTTCCTTCTTTTCTTCCTCTCCTTTCTTCTCTCTCTCTATTTTCTTTATCTTCTTTCTTCCTTTCTCTCTTCTTTTCTCTCTCTCCATCTTCCTTCCTTTTCTTTCTTTCTCTGTCCTTTCTTTTCTTTCCTTCCTCCTTCCCCTCTTTCTCTCTCTCTCTCTCCCTTTCCCTTTTTCCTCCTTTCTTCCCTTCCTTCCCTTCGCTTTTCTTTCTTTCTGTCTTATGCATAAGGGGGTGGGGAGGGAAACAAAAGAAGGTGACTTGGCTGCCTGGCTCTGAGGCGGCCTGTTCTGTTATCCCTCCCAAGTGATATACCCAAAAAGTTACTCAGTTTAGTTTAATGATTATTTTTCAATGAGGGAGGGGGCGGGGGTCGTGACGCAAGGCGAGCGCCTCTGCCTGGTACCAAGTTTCTTTCTTCTGTGGGCAGTTTTACTAGAGAGCAGCTTCATCATCCATGAGGGGCCGCTCAGTCCCTCTCTGGGTCTCTCTTCATCACACACCCCTCCTTTGTGTGGGGAGGACAGGAGGCCTCTTGGACCACATTTTGTGTGTGTTTGTTTATGTTTGGTTTTTTAAAAATTAATATTATTGCTACTTTTATTTATACAGTGAATCGTATGTATATGGTAGCAAAACGAGCAAAAACAGTGGGTCCTGCTCAAGGCTTGCAATCTAAAATATGTGTGTGTGTGTACACAGAGAGAAAGGGAGTTTGCTCTGGTGATTCACCCAGGCGGAGGTCGAAGACTTTGTTTTGTGTGGCGCTGCCCTTTCCCTGTGTGTGCCCCACAGCAAAGTCCTCCTCTCACCATTCAGTGTAGGTTTTACATCCTAAAGTGGACTACAGAAAATAAACAGTGGCATAGATCCCCATTTTTAGGAGGCGGGAGGAATTGCAGGTTTTTTAAGCTTCAGAAAGTATTCTCTTTCCTTCATCTAATGAAGCTGTGATTTAACACACGGTTCCAGATAAACGCCCTGTATTGAAACATGTGGACTAAAGGCTGTAAATGGGTTGTTTGTGATGGATCTTCCATAGTAATAAAGCCAGAAAGACTGCAAAAGCAAGAGGGAGGAGGGGCAGTGCGTGCCAACAGAGTAAGCAGCGTGGTCCCCTCTCTCAGGGTCTCAGTGCCAAAAGGAGGTACTCTGCCATTGTGTGCATCTAAACTGAAGAATAAATGCAATTCGAAACTACTTTAACTGCCATGGCTGTGAAATCGTGGGAGTTATAGTTTTACAAGCTTTTAAGCCTTCTCTGGCAAAACGTACTGGTGCGGCACCAAACTACAAATCCTAGGATTCCACAGCATTTAGCAATGGGAGTCAAAGTAGTACCAAATAGCATTACTTTTACAGTGTGGGCACATCTTAACTCACTTCTGACCTATGGTGACTCTTAAAGTATAAAATAAGATTTTCCTAGCAAAGTCTGTTTCAGAGGATATTTGCCTTCTTCTGAGGCTGAGAGAATGTGACTTTCCCAAGGTCACCCAGTGTGTTTCCACAGCTGGGCTGGGATTCAAACCCTGGTTTCCAGTGTAGTAGACCAACACTCAAACCACTGCATCACACTGGGAGGCGGGGGGCTGTTACTGAGAATTTCAGCATTTTTTTTAAAAAAAAAATCCTTAGGCTTAGGGCTCATTCTACGTTCTCTTCATAACTTTTTTTCAAAAAGGAGAAGCTACTTAAGGTATAATAATAATAATAATACTTTATTATTGTATCCTGTCACCATCTCCCCAAAGGGTCTCGGGGCGGCGTACACATGGCACAGAGCATAAAATAAAAACAATATAAAATGCAATTAGATAAAACAAATAGGCAATTAAAACTCAATTGAAACAGCGATCATCTGGCAGTAAGCTGTTGTAAACATGACCAGGCTGTAAACAATGGGCAAGGGAATGGGACGTGGGCATGAGATGTAGTGCAAGACTGCATAACAATCGCGTAGAACAACTAGGGACTAGGCGTTCTCAAAAGCTTGTTTGAACATCCAGGTTTTCATGTCCTTACGGAAGGCGGACAGTGTGGGGGCTTGCCTTATCTCACTGGGGAGGGCATTCCAAAACATGGGGGTCACCACCAAGAAGGTCCTCTCCCTTGTCCTCACCAACCGCGCTTGTGACGGTGGGGAGACTGGGAGGAGGGCCTCCCTTGCAGATCTTAGAGCCCATGTCAGTTCATTTGGGGGGGGGGGGGTAAGGTCATAAAGATAGCAGGACCCGAACCATTAAGGGCTTTGTAGGTAATAACCTGCACTTTGAATTGGGACTAGAAACTTATTGGCAGTTTATAATCCAGATGTAAGGATTTAAAGGTGCTGTTTTATGCCCATTTCTAAGTAGACATAAACTGATCTAAAAGCTAGGCCTAATTACATTTCAGCCCTCTAAAGCCACTTTTTTATTTAATAGAAAATTACTTTTTGCTTGAGTGTTGTTTCTAGATAGAAATACCTCTGATGCCAAGCAAATGAAACCAAGCACCATGTGGTTGAAATGCACCTTGACACAATTGACAACACTGGCAGGAAAAAAAATACTCAGAAGTAAATGATAAGTATTACAAGTTGGGGGTTCAAATCCTGGAGTCTTTAGTATTTTGTTTGCTAGTTGAAAAGATAATACAGACTATGTGAAAAAAAGTTGTAACAGTGCTGTTCTGTCCTGTGTGCTTGTCTCAAATGCTGGAACAGCACTTTGGTTTTCTCGATGTTCAATGACAGGTCGAGCTTCTCATATGCTTCTGTGAAGGTGTTTTGAGTGGCTTGTAGATCTTCTTCTGAATGCTCACAAATGACATTGTCATCAGCATACTGGAGTTCTATAATAGATGTTGTAGTAAACTTGGTTTTGGCTTTCAGTCTGCTGAGGTTAAACAGCTTGCCATCTGTCCGATAGATGAGTTCCACTCCGGTGGGAAGCTTCCCATCAACAAGATGAAGTATCATAGCGAAGATGGAGAATAAGGTTGGGGCAATAACACATCCCTGTTTGACATCTGATTCCACCTTAAATGGGTCACTTTGGGAGCCATACTGTCCAAGACTGTTGCCATCATGTCATCATGTCGGAGTCACAGGATGTTCACAAATTTGTTAGGGCACCCGATTTTTTGGAGGATGGTCCAGAGAGCACTGTGATTCACTGTGTCAAATGCCTTTGCAAGGTCAATGAATGCCATGTGCAGAGGTTGATTTTGTTCCCTGCTTTTTTCTTGGAGCTGTTGTGCAGTGAAGATCATATCCACTGTTCCTCTGGAGGGGCGGAAGCTGTTCTGGGATTCTGGGAGGGTGTCTTCTGAGAGGGGTAGAAGGTGATTTGCAAGGATTCCTGTGAGGATTTTCCCAGCTGAGGTTAGAAGGGAGATACCTCGATAGCTTCCACAGTCTGTTCTTTCCCCCTTTTTGAAGAGGGTGATGATAGTGGCATCCTTGAAATCTGCTGGGATTTTCTCGGTCACCCACAGTTTTTCTATGAGCCAGTGGAGTTGTTGTGTCAGCTCAGGTCCTCCCTCTTTAAAGATTTCAGCAGGGATCCCATCAGGTCCGCTGACTTTGTTATTTTTTTGTTGGCTGGTGGCATTGCTGATTTTTCCTCCCCATGCCAGAGATACAGCTTAATGGTGTAACATTAGAAAATGTTATCGCTTCTCGGCCTTTTGGCTAAGATCAAGTGTAGAAAATGTTGACCATTTCCGCTACCTTGGCAGCCACCTCTCCACCAAAGTCAACATGAACACTGAAATACAACGCTGCCTGAGTCTGCAAGTGCAGCATTTTTCCGAATGAAGCAGAGAGTGTTTGAGGACCGGGACATCCGTAGGGATACCACGGCGCTTGTTTATAAAGCTATTGTCCTCCCAATCCTGCTATATGCCTGCGAAAAGTGGACTGTC